TCTGCTGATTTTGTTGGGTTTTTTTTTGTCAATTTCTATTGTATAACTTACTTTTTTTTGCATAATTTGTTGTTTTTATTATTACTACTGATAATAATAAAGGGATAGCCTCGTAAAATTGATAATATGTTTCATAAATTTTAATCAATTACGATTTATTATAGTAGATTGCATATCATTTTCAGTGGTAAAAGAATAACCTGTTAAAGATAAGTTAGTAAAATTTACATTTTTACCTTTTAATTTTATCTGCACTCTTTTATTTCTAAGAATTACGTATATTATATAGTATTATTACTATTATTACAATATTAATTAAATTTCTAAATGTTAAATAGAGTTTAAGTGTATATATTGAGTATTATTGACGAGTTAAATTGCATTTAGTATACTTCACTCTCGTGGGGATCATTGACCATGAAATATCGTCCGCCGCTATCTTATTCTGTATTTCTTTTTTACAAATAAAATTCTGCACTGACTTATTGCATTTAAAAATGTGTTTATCAATAAAAGTTAACTATGTACAAACAAACCAAATTTAACATTATTCATCATAATCTATCATTATTGATTTGTGATAATCAACTCAATTAACCCATTATGACATCACAAAAATTTAAGTCTATCGTATCCCTGTTTATCATTTATGAAGCACGTATACAGAGCATGTACATTTGCATACCAAATGAATCTTCAAATTCAGATCCCAACAATGGTTGGATTACTTCCATTGTATAAAAACGTTTAAATATTTTTCCTTCTATTCCAAATTCAAGATATCAATCAAATACAAAAGTATGTTTCATAAAATTGCTTCTCTCTATTCTCAAATTAAAAAAAAGTCTTGAACCCAAAAGAATAGATCAAGAATCAAAACTCGACCTTATTCGCATATCAAACTTCTGTCACCTATATTTATTCGTGTTAACGTATGCAAGCTAGTTTGTAGTTTGAAATTCGTAAAAACTTTTCTTTTGATAACTAAGTTTTAAAATTTAATATAAGATTTTTCAGAAGTAGTTCATATTTAAACCATAAAATCTAAAGAAAATTATTTTTTACAGACATTTTAATTTTAAATTTGGACGAAATTACTCAATGAAACGATAAATTACGATATTAATTATTTTGTTATAATTTAAAAACCTTATTCGTGGGAACTTCAACTTTAATGTGTTTTATTATACACAATGAAATTTTTGATTTATTTTAAAATATTATATTTTTACGGGTACTATGAATCTATTTTTACTGTTCTACGGTATTTAATAAATACTATTTATAGAAAGATTCTATTACATTTTTAGTTAAAAAAATATTGTAAAATATACGTAAAATTGCTTCATGTAAACGATATAAACTTCTCTAGGTAGTGCACTTTATTAACTGTCTAAACTTGTGACCGTTGAAATCAAAGAAAACAGTAAACAAGACTTTCGTGTTTCGCTGAATTTTTCGCGGTCAACTCGAAAACGTTTATACCATTTATTAATTTGATGCAAATTCTCTGATTCAATTTTTTTTTTTCAAAAAAAAAAAAATTAAAAAAAAATTGCAGATTGACTTAAACACGTGAAAGTTATTTGACAAGGAATTGATCAGCTAACATAATAATCAGTGTATCTATACAGATATTTCAAAGATAGGTGTACCAAATAAAAAAAATAAAACAATTCTCTAATTGGACATTCCAAGGTATTTAAAAATGTTGTTTTTTCTTTTTAACATTCCTCATACGACACGAAGCGCACGATCATTTGAGCGTGTATCCCGACGCGGAATCGGCCTTTCCTTAAATCACTACAGTATGGCGATATGTGCGACCCATACTCATAATATATTATGTATATCATATTAGATAGCGTATGAAAATAAAAACGCTTTTAAAGTATTGATTTCAACAAATAGTTGCGTATAACTGCGAGACGGCTGCATAATCCGCCCGCAGACTTTTGTACGTGCGATCTCGAAACATTTTTACATTACTCCTGTTTTGAATTACATGTTTCTTAATCTGGTAGTTGAGAGCAAGACGGTTAGGTCGGTTCTTTCTTATTTCTTTCATCTCATTCACTCTCAATCTCTCTCTCACACTCTCTCTTTATCTATCTATCGCATACTGTCTCTCCTCTCTTTATTTTTGCTCCTTTTTCTCCTGACGTTTGGGAGAAGTGAGAAGGAGGTGAGGCGTAGAGAGTTATCGATATATATGTATATGTATACTCCATATATCTATATATACCGTACAAAACGTAATTTTTTTCGAACCCCACCATTAAACTCGGATTACAGAAAATCGTTAAACGTACCATTGTAATGTGTTACACAAATATCTCGCGATAAAATCATTCGTTCTATTTTGCTATTGATGAACCGAAAACGAAAAACTAACATAACTCACAACAAAAGCCTCTCTTTTTTGTTGTTTTTTCTTTGTTTTTTTTTCATCATGAATCTTGATCAGGAGGAAGTTCTTAATTATCTTAAAGATTGTAATATTATTATAAAGATACAAAAAAGTATATGCGATAAATACGATAAAAAACCGATTCACTGATGAGTGAGTGTTACTATACCAAAAATCGAATGTTTAAAATTACGTATTTTGACGACTATAGTTATGAAAGTAAACAATGATTATAATTTTATAATTTATAATGGATAAAAAATATACGTGTTAGTTGAAAGAATTATGTGTTTTATTCATACACCATTTAAAATGAAAATTGTCAAATTGTCGACATATTGTCCATTATTGATCAAAAATATGGCCTTTTAAAATGTGCTGACTATAGCAAAAGAGTCGGTGATGAACTTTATTCCAAAATCTCAACAGTACTTCGATTATATTGTATGAAATAATAGTTTTTTCATGCTGTTTATCGATTCGACACACGTCCAAATTGATGTATCGTTTATATTATGTATAATATAGTAAACGTGATTATTGTATTACATTAATGTCATTACGAGACGCAAGTTCAGGTAATATAGACAAAGTCACAAAAACGTATGTTTTAAAAACACATTCCTATTTAAATAGTTGTATTCATCACAGGCTAAAAATAAATTAATGTTTTGGTTTAACAATATACTTAGAAGAAAATAGTGTCTTGGATTGAAAACAATCAACTGTTTGTGCACGTATTCGTATGCTCGGAAAAGCGTGTGATGTACAACATTTATTATTATAGCTGTTTTAAAAAAAAAAAATCTTTCCAAAGGACGCGTGGGATAGAATCATATTGTCGGGATATAAAAATTAAGGATGTATATGGTAACAATATTATACTATTATATTATAAAGGTCGGTAGAATAATAATTACTATTAAATTATACTATACCTTTTTTTTTCGTTATAATATTCTATATATTATAATGGTTGGCAGTGGCGGCAGTATTCTGATACTGATACGGACATACGGTAATAATTTACTAATTTCAAAAAAACGGACAGTATTTATGATTTTTTTTCATACTATTTTTTTAATTATTTTACAGATACTACCGCATTTTTACCATACACACAAAGTTCAACTAATGAAAATTCCATTAATTTAATATTATTACCTATATGATATATATATATATATATATATATATATATTTATATACTAGGTTTGTGTCTCGACACTGCAGTGGTTTCGTGCGTGAAATTACGTTTTAAAGTGTTATAAAATTATGGATTAACCATCCAAGTGTGTGTATAATTGTATTTAATAATATAATATACGATATTAACTCGCCTCTTATAATGCCTGTTTCGTTATTATTTTTTTTTCATTTATTAATATCAACCGGGTTCATCTGTATTAACAGTAGACATATTTTTATTTTATTTTTACTTTTAATGGTTTATGAAAACGCAAAAAGTCCAACATAGGTATACTCTACGTCGAATTAATTTATGTTCATGCATAAATATATACATATATATATATATATATATATATATAATGAGAGAGTCCGGTTCGTTAATTTTACAACGAAACGTGTAACAATATTGTGCGGTTCTTTGTATTCGTCTCTTTAATTATCGTTTGCGCCATTAAACTATTCGATTATGTTGGGTATATGTAGTATAGTTGTTTGGACTATAGGCGATGTATAGTAATTTGACGGTTTTAAAATGATCGAATTAATTAAATTTTTAATTTTAACACTCCGATTTTACTCATTTATAGCGTCAGTTATGATAGTAGACATAAATCATCATACAAGTACAAATTAAAGGCTTGATCAATCATAAAATTATTTCTAGCCTTTCTCTGTATTATTAAATGGTTAAAACATATCGACTTTGTTGAAAAATTAAATTTTTTAATTACTGGGTGATTGGAGTTTACTCATTCAATGATTTTTATGTTTTTCATATAAAATTATTATTATTTCATATTTATTTTTAAAGTTTTACTGTCTACTAACTTATTTGATAATGCAGGTATAAACAATATCGAAATTTTTTGATTTCATATTTTTTTGAAAATTTCAATGTTAAAGTATTGTGTATTGAACGAACATTTTATTGTTTATAAATGTAAGCATAATATTATAAAGTTTTGAAGAACGGATTGGTGGGAAAGACAAATATTGTTCTTGTACTTTGCGAGTTTGCACTGCGTACCACATCGCTCTTTCACACCCTAAATGTTTATTATAATAAACTATTGATTTTGTATACGATATAGTAACAGTTTATACATTGAAATTTTTGGAAAAATATTACTCCCGGGTATGAAATTTAAAATAAGTTCGACCATTTAAGTGATGAAAAAAAATTGCGATGATGCGTATAAAATAAAAAAAATATGATATCGCTTGTGTAGCAACACGTTTAAAGCATCAACGAGAAGAATACACATTCTTATTGCATTGTTATATTTCTCATTTGTCTTATACAACGTGATTTCTAATTATATATTTTGCAGAGCGTGCTGATTTACATTTATATGGATGAAACACAATTTGTTGTAATTTTCTATATGCTATGACTTACCTACGACGTTGAGCTGGAATGCCAAACTCATTTTGGGTTCGGTATTTACTTGGCATTCATAGATTCCGGCGTCTCTTGGTTGAGCAAATTTAATCAGTAGGGTCCAATTGTCCGAGTTATCCGGGTGGATGACTTGGAATCTCTGGTCACTGGTGTAAGTCAGCACTCCCGCCGTTAGTATGTGCAAGTCTCTCTTCCGCATCCACGATACCTGCGTGTACACGTTAAAAACAACGCCATTAACAACAAAAATAATAACGGCAACAGAAACAACAATAATTATAATAGTAATAATAATAATAATAATAATAATATAAAAATAACGAGTCGTTTTCGTTTCGAAGTTTGATGCGTGTTGGTTTTATGGTTTATCTATTATTAGTGGAATACTGAGTCTTCGCATACGACAGCGAGGTCGTGTCAAATCTTCTCATGGATTTGTCGATTACATTATAAATATATATTTAGTGGATATTCACGATCAAAAAAATTTGTTTTGTAAAAAAATAAATAAACATAATAGTTTTTTGTTTTATATGTACAATTTTAAACTATGTAATTTATTTTAAGTTTTTAGGTAGAATACATTTATACTGACTGAAATATCAGTGATGTAAATTATAGTCATATCGATGGTGAGTTTCTCGTCAATATTTTATTCATAATAAATACACAATAATTTATTACTACAGTGTGACATTTAATTCATAATTTATTGAACGCTCAGTTTATTTTGTATCGTGATATTTTATTTTAATACTTTTATTATGATCAATATTAAACGATAATAATTCCAAGAATATTTTTCAGAAGGTTTATAGGCTGAATAAATTTTCAAAAACACATATTTTTAGTATAGCTATATTTTTGTAAGAGATAAACTTTCATCGAAGTTGGTGATCAGAGTATTTTTTCTACTAGAAAAGTGTCTTCACAAAAAAAAGAAAATGCATAATCGTAAAATCAATACATTCATCGCTTCATTTCGAAACTATAACATTTCCATTATTGAAATTATTATTTTTATGAATGTAAGGCAAAGAAGGTATTCTACTTTTAATCAAATATGACTGATATTAATAAAAATTACAATACATTTTTGCTTAAAGTATTGAATCAAACATAATAGTGTCACTTTATGGTATACTAACATTGTAAGTAAATATTGCTTTTTGATTTATTTATTGAATCAAAAATAACTATTTTAACTCATCTTTTTATCGGTAAATAAATAAATACTAATAATTCAATGATTAATTGTTTATAAATACTTATATCATGTTTCAATATCAAGTTAGAAAAAACGTGGAAACAATCTCTGAAATATAATAGAGATTAATATGATACTATACATTCTGGTATAATTATATAGTAATAATAATATTTAAAAATTATTGAGCAAAAATGTATTTTAATGCAGAAAACGAATGTATAAACTAATCAAAATGACATTCTTTATCTTTGAAATGAATATGTTCCTATGTAAATTATTTAGTTTACTATAGAGGTTTAAAAAAACGTACATAAAATTAAAAATATTGCCAATTCTTTTTCATAGTTATATTTAATTTTTTCTTTAACTTCTTTTTTACTTCTTCATTAAAATTTGTGTTGTTCTAATATACATTTACAGCTTATTTAAGTACCAGCTTATTTGATGTAAATAATTAGTTAGTAGGAATGGAAACTGGACACTTAGTCCACTCAAATTGTTTTGATGCAATTGCAGTGAGTTTATATTATTATTTTTAATTTAATAGCAAAAGATAAATAATATAATTTTAAAAACGATTTTAACCGGAATACATATACTTATATGTTTATAGAACATTTTTCAAATTTTAAGTGCTCATAAAAATAATTTATGAGTTATGATTTCAAAATGTATTAAATGTAAAAACACATATGATAGAATAACATTTTCGTATTAAATGCCAATCCTTTATAAGTTAAAAATTAAATGGAAAAAACCAACTTAAATTTTCTACAAGCTATCGAAGTTACACTTTATATTTATATTGTTTATACCAATTTATATATACCAGTAAACTTTAATGAGCACCGATAAATGCGATTAAAGTAAAAAACATAATAAAAGTTATTGCTCAAAAACTAAAAGATAATTTAGAAACGAACAATATAGACATTAAATAATTAATTAATTATTTATAAGGTATATTTCATTAATGGAAAAATTCATAGGAAAAAACTATTTAAACCAATATCAATGATTATAATTAAATTAAATAATCGCAAAATATAATTCAATACAGTATACGATATTAAGCTGGACGTTTAATTGTATTTGATCGAAATTAAATTGAAATAAAAAAATTAAAAACAAACGTACTAGATTAAATTAATAATAAATTGGAAGACGATTTGACACGATGTGAAAACTTTTTTTTCTTTTAAAACCAATGTAATATTTTTATATTTTGGTAAAATGTAATTTAGGGACAAAAAAAAAAAAAAAAAATAAATAAAATGATTTAGTGGTCATAAAAAAATGCTATATACTTGTACTATAAAAACAATACGATATCGGATTTGTCATATTTCAAGGGAAGAGAAGAAAAAAATAATTTTTCTATACCACAGTGTCTGAATAAATGAAGATAAGACTTGTTTTCAAAATTTTCTAATCTAGAAGCTGACCTGTTGTGGGATCGCAATTACATTGGACATTTGAAAACAACTCTCTCTAACTCATCAAAGTAGTAATGACTTCCGTAAGTTTACTGTTGGTGTGCCGATAGAAAAAAAAAATGAAAAAAGAGGATTACTAGAGGATATTATAATGTTATGTACATCCTTCAGATGGCGGTGAAATAAAGATGGATTTTTAATTATTTACAAAATGATTTATTATAGGAAACATTAGATATAACTGTTTTACTAATATTATAATTTTTGGACAAAACAAAAATATCATGTTTCATTGTACCTACTTATATTATAAGTACTAAAATATACTTTAGATTATTTTTAATGTTAATAAGTTTCTTAAAACAATATTATATGTCGGGAAAATATAATAGAAATATTTATTATAAGTTTTTTCATTGATTTGCCGGTCAATGAATACATTATAAAATTATGTATTATCTTAATAATGGAAAAATGTCAAAGGAATCGCTTTAAATTTTCGTCGACCAATTTTTTTTTTTTTTTTTTAAATAAAGCTATAATAGTACTTACAAGTATTAGCCAAATGGGTTAATACAGTAAATACAATTTGATATCTATTAATTTAGTTTGAACATGTTTCCGTTCTATTTTTGAAGTCAACATTAATAATATCTAACTTAATATTGGTTAATAAAATTAATTCATTTATAATTTATTATATTTTCGTTTCCGACTAGAGTGAAGAAGCTTTATTGGTTGTACAGTACCTAATGTGCTTTATTTGAACTGCGCTCGTTTCGGTGGCATTCGTGTTTCGAATATTTCATCCACAGTATATGTGCAATGAACTGGAAGTTTGAACAAGTACTATATTATATAATATATTGAAGAATTTATTAGAGGCTCCGAAATAATAATAAAAAAAATATCTAATAATATTATTTTAATTGTCATGTTCACTATATTTTTTGGTTCCAAAAAAAAAAAAAAGTACATAGTTAATCAATAAAATATAATAGAGTTTAAGATTACGGCTATAATGAAAACGTCGATAAAATACAAGTATATAAACCGTTGAAATTTCTTGGTAACGACACAATTTACCAAATGTTCAAGAATATAAAATCAACTCACGAACGGTCTGACCAATTGGTAACGGTATTTAATACATGGCTAAGAGATAATTGTACGTTTCTGTCTGATTTATTCTATTAGTTTTTAAATTAATAACATTTTGTAACGTACACTAATAGTTTTTCACGTTCTAAAAGTATAGCGTACATTATTTAAATCGAATTATTTAAAATATACGAAACAATCTAGGATATATTAAGTTTCTAATTGCTTCGGAGCAGTCGTTCTTAGAAAATCGAGATTAACCGTCAGTTGACGAGCTTCATTTATTATCTTATTACGAGGCATTGTTCATTGTTTTTAAATTAAAAAAAGACATAATAATAGCGTATTACTATCCCACTAGAGTAGATCTACTATATTATATTGTAAAACTATAGTGAACCTTAAACTTTACGAATAAAGTGCATATAAAGACATGCGCGTGATATATATAATATTTATAGTCTATTGGAAATTTAATCACCGTATTTAAGAATTCTGAAAAAAAAATTTATAGTGACAAAATATTTGTACATTGAGTATTGTGTGAATCTGAGTAAACATCGCAGGATAAATAAATTATCTCTTATCAAAAACCGTATGTAAAACAATTTCATACCGTAAAAAGGGCAACATTAGAGAGGGTGCGGAGTGTATAAAATATGGGCTGAATCGACTAAAAAATGTGTTCTCGAGATATATTGTTAAATTTTTGTCCAAGTTCAAAGTAAATATATTATTATTATTTTTCAATTAGTTATCATTGTTCGTGTCGGTGCACTCAGAATTCGACCCAACAATTACGTGTGCACATCCAACACATACTCACACTACTGTATCTGACAAGTACTAAGCGTATGCTAATAATGTAGATTTATTTTTCTAATGTGAACTAGAGTAAACGTTAAAATATTGGTACACAGTGACGCTAATCGAGAATACGTCAAAAAGAGATTAAACGAAATTATTATCCCGTTAAGCTTTTTTAATTTTTGCTTTGATTTTGAACCCTGACTGCGAACGTTGACACTATGGTTAGTTTTCGGTATTCACGACACCTGACGAGTATGACGAAATCGTGCTCGATACCCGGTGCAACATCAGCTAATGTCAACGGTAATATTTTTTTAGATTCAGATTATTGTTGAGCGGGTAGCTTATCATTGTTGTTTTATAACGAATATTTTTTTACATGGTAAAAATATTGAAAAACTGTTGCTGATGTCACACATAAAAATGAACAATATTATATTTACCAAAACGACAAATACTCATTGAATTTTCAAATAGTTTTTGTAATAGTCACGGAAATATATTATCGTGCTTTATTTATTCTTTTACGAAATCTCAACCATTTTACTGAATAGTAGTCAAGACTCCGTTAAAAAACGGTTTATTTCAAACCCAAATGATTTATCATCACTTTCGAAATAAAAAACGGCCCTCTTGGAGTGCTACCCAATA